TTTTAATCGTTTTTTAAAACGATTACAGCATAACGTATATGAAAGGAGAGCTATTGTATGGGGAAAATGGGCTCAAAAAGTCATTACCAAACGATTAAATCAGTGTTTTTTGTTTGACTTCGAGCTCTGATTAGTGTTATATATAGTTAACAAGAAGTTAACTAATCATATGATTTATAAACGTTTTTGTCACTGTTTTTAGTATTTTTAAATTGAATTGCTTTCTGGCTATAAATAGTGGTTTTGTTATAGTTATCCATTGCATGTGTTGCCCATTATATGTATACAAAAAGTTAATGAAGTGTTTCATTGAATAACAAGATTTAAGGTTTGATTGAATGCGAAGAAAAAGAAAAAGTTTTTTCATACAAAAGACATATTTATTTTTAGATTAATTAGGATTTGAACGTTGAATACAATGGGTTTGCAAACTATACTGTGAGAAATGTAATGTAATTTTTGTGTCAAATGTATGTAATTTCGTGTAATTTATTGAAATTAATATTTGATTTCAATTCTGAATTAATTTCATATTTTTATTTTTTATTTATATATTTTGTTCACTAATTCAATGCCATTTGACTTGAAAAATATGAAACTATTTCCTAATTTTATTCCTCAATCTCTTGTGTTATAAATTATAATTGAGTTTTTGTTCATTTATTAAGAATTCAATGCATTTATTGCTTGAGTTTTTAGTTTTCAATTTGTTTTTTGTGTTGGAAATCAAGTCAAATACAAGTTTGTCTTCTCGTTTTCATGAGATATGATAATCGTTTTAAATATAAACTCAATTCAAATGCAAGAATTAAAATACAATTTATTACACACTGACTGACAAGTGATTAGTTTTGAGCCGCAAAACCGGAGTGTAATCTGTGGTAATGCCGACCAGTATTTATCATAAATAACTGTTTTTCTACTCAATAAAAAACTTTTTCTCTTTTGTTTTTCTCGCAATCAATTGATATTTGATTCCCGTTTTTGTGATGCCATATAAATGTAGTGATGATATAACACACACTCACAGAATGCATACGCGAAACAGTTGTTTGATATCATACACGAACTAAAAGTGTGGTGTGTTTTATGTTTTTGATTGACAGGTGGAAAGGGCTGAACTCCAGGCGCGTATAGCACTACTGCAGGGCGAGAGGAAAGGCCAGGAGAACCTGAAGAATGATTTGGTCCGACGGATCAAAATGTTAGAGTACTGTCTCCGCCAAGAGAGAGCCAAATACCATAAGTTAAAGTTCGGTTGCGATCCGCCAAACATGACCGCCCCTAACGACGAGCTCAAAGAACTCAACTCTGATCTCGAAGAGTCCCTCATGAGTGAGTCCGGCGGACAGACATCTGTCAACTGGAAACAGGTATGAAATCATTCATTTCTTGCATATATTACAAAGTATTAGGATTTACTTTAACACACTTTTGTACGCTTTTCTCTTCAATTTTATGTAGTTTTTGTATTTTATTTTAATTTTTTCTTTTCATTTTTCATGTGAGAACTGTTTTTATTGTTTTTTGATGAGATTTATCATAAAATATTTGAAATAACTATTGAAGTGTATGAATATTCAGAAGAGTAATCGTGATTCTCAGTCACGTCTCAATCATTCAAAGTGTCTATTAGTCGTTTCGGTTATCCTTTTGTTGAGATACTGTTTGCGAAATCAATCATAAAATAGTCATTAATTTTTAATTTTCTACACGTTTTTAATGCTTATTTAATTGATTGCATACATTAATACATTAATTGATTTAATAAAAAACAATAGGGAAGACAACTATTACGACAATATTTACAAGAAATCGGTTACACGGATACGATAATAGACGTGCGCTCTAATCGAGTCCGTAGTCTATTAGGTCTGACGACGAATACGAGTTTAGAGGACTCGCAGATTGTGGGTCAGGACTCCGGCGACGGATCCAATCGCAAACTGAACGATACGGACGTCGAGAACTATAAGACACGATTAGTTCGGAGAGATCTGAACCGAAACGCGTGGAAACCCGAGCAGACGATTGTGACGGACGCCGAGGCCAGCGTTTTGGCCACATTTGAGTTCCTTAACGAACAAAGAGAGGGACGTAATAACGAAGAGGGGGACGAGGAGGAGGACGAAGAGGACGGCTGCGAGGATATCGACACCGCCAGGAATGCGGGCCCGTATGCCATCGATTCGGAGACCGAAGAGGTTTTGGCCGAATTCGACTTCTTGTCCACTCATCCGA